ATGGCAACACCACTACTACTGGATTGTACCACATGGCAACACTACTACTGGATTGTACTAGCATTTTCACCAAATGTACTAGAATGTTTTGGTTCTATCTCTTTCACTCTACTCAAAACTGAAATGCATAAAAAAATGACAAAATGATACACTCTTTGCACACTGTTAAAGAATCATTGTACACAAAATCCACTTTGTTCAAATCAAAACAAAAAAACTAACCCATCTGGTGGATGATGGCACAAGCTTCCAAGAAAATTCTATTACAGTGAACCACATTATTTTAATGGATTTCTTCGCCAGTAAGTCGTCTGTCACTTCGTTTGTGTCTGGTACTCTCTTCGGTCCCAAGCTAATCGATGCACCCCTCGAAACATAGGAAAATCCACGAACCCCTCATTTTATCTGTCAAGCTTTCATAGCGAATCAAAACAAACATAATGTAGTACTAGAATTTCAACTAGAATTGGGTACGCTTGTAGATTTGCTTGGGACCAATAGGCTTGTCAAGTAGTAAACAAATTCAAAATCGTTAGTTTCCATCGGCTGCTCACAAACTCATTTACTCATTTACGGCGTATTTGTGGAAATACTTGGAAATTTGTAGAGCTATTGGGAACTTTTGCAAAATTCGCAAAATCTCTCCAAAAATCTTAGAACTTCTGCAGAATTCATAGAATTTCTGCATAATTCGTAGATCTTACACAAAATTCGGAGAAAATCTGAAAAAAATCCGTACAAATTCTCCGATTTTAGTACTGCTAAGAAAATCATAAAAATTCTTGGAATTTCTTACAACTTATCAAAAAGCTGGTTGATCTTTAGAAAAGTTCGTAGAACTTCTGGGAAAATCTTAGAACTTCTGAGAAAATTTTAGAACTGCTATGATGTTTGTAAAAATTCTCGAATGTTCGTTGAGCTTCTGGGAAATCGTAGAACTTCTGGGAAATGCGTAGAACTTCAGGAAAGTTCGTAAAACTTATGGGACATTCGTAGAACTTCTGCTAAATTCGTAGAACTTTTGGAAATTTTTAGTACTACTGGGAAGTTTGTGGCGATTTTGGGAAATTTGTAGAACTTCTGGGAAACTCGTAGAAGTTCTAGTAAATTCGTAGAACTTGTAGAAAATTCGTAGATCTTCTGATAGAACTTTTGAGAAAATCGTAGCACTTCTGGAAAATTCGTATAACTTTTGTGAAATTTGTAGAACTTCTGCGGAAATTTAGAACTGTTGGGAAGTTTGTAGAATTTTTATAAGCTCGGAGAACTTCTGGAAAATTCATTGATCTCCTAGGAAATTCGTTGAGCTTCAGGGGAATGCTAAGAACTTCTAGGAAACTTGTAGAACTTCAGGGGATTTTTTAGAGCTTCTGAGAAATTCGTAGAACTTTTGGGAAAATTTAGAACTGTTGGGAAGTTCGTTGAAATTCTTGTAAATTCGAAGAACTTCTGAGAAATTCGAACAACTTCTAGAAAATTAATTAAACTTCTTGAAAATGTTTAGAACTTCTGGGAAATTCATAGAACTTCTGAGAAGTTCTTAGAACTTATGGTAAATTTGTAGAGCTTCAGAGTAGTTGGTAGATCTTTAGGAAAGTTCATTAAACTTATAAAACATTCGTAGAACCTCTGGGAAAATGTTAAAACTACTGGAAAGTTTGTAGAAATTCTTGCAAGTTCGTAAAGCTTCTGGAAAAATCGTACAACCTCTGAGAAATTAGTAGATTGGACGACCATACCGCAATCAGTTTCATCACGGCTTCTTTCGGCCAGTCACGCCAAAGTATTAGAATATAAAAAGTAAATCAACTATTAGAACGCAAAGAGTAATTATAATTAATCAAAAATTTACCTTGCTACTGGACGCCATTATCTTCTCCATTTCTTGTTATATTTATCTAAAAATCTCTTCGCTCAAAAAAAAAATTATAAAAATGGCCTCAACAAGTCGAACGCAAATTAAAAACAATCCTATCCTGTTCGACAAATTAAACGTTAAGTATAAAGGCCGGCGCACAATAGATACGTTTTCGGGTTTTTTGACAGTTAGCCCATGCATTATCTGTCAAAAAACCCGAAAACGTATCTATTGTGCGCCGGCCTTAATCATCATATCGAAAAAGTGTAAACGTAACTCAACATTGGATCCAACATAATTTTCAAGCAGTCAGCTCGAATCAGATCAACAAATCAGTGCCAACATTTCAAAGGGGCGTAATTGCATTTGTAAACAATTGCTTTACCCGTTGATTTCTCGCGAATAAAAGCTCACTCAAGAAAAATAATGACACCAACAGGTAAAGGAATGTTTCCTCTACCAGCTAGCATTGTTAATTTGGAGGGGCGAGCTTTTAGTTGCGAGAAATCGACGGCTAAAGCTATTGTTTACAAAAGCAATTACGCCCCTTTGAAATGTTGGCACTGAAATCAGATAGTCTAAGGCTCTGAACCATTTGGTGGATTATTTTAACTTTTGGTTAAAATTTGACAGATGGAAAGTTATCGATTAACCCTGCTATCCGAGCATGGTTATTTCTGACAGACAAGAAGTTAAATTTTGACAACCGTGGCTTGAAAACCGGTCGAGCGACAGCACAGGGATTTTCGAACATAGAAAATAACTTTCGAAATGTCACTTTTAACCACGAGTTAAATTTAACTCGGCAAATGGTTCACAGCCTAAATGGACCTTTAGGCTGTGAACCATTTGCCGAGTTAAATTTAGCTCATGGTTAAAAGTGACATTTAGAAAGTTATTTCTAACATATATGTTCGAAAATCCCTGTGCTGCCGATCGACCGGTTTTCGAGAAGAAATGAGCCACAGTTGTCAAAATTTAACTTCTTGTCTGTCAGAAGTAACCACGCTCGGATAGCAGGGTTAATCGATAACTTTCCAACTGTCAAATTTTAACCAAAAGTTAAAATAATCCACCAAATTGTTCAGAGCCTTAATCTTTACTCGATTATCAATCCATTGCAAGCAATATTTTGATATATTTTTTAAGTTTTGAGAGTTGGTGCACATGTAGATTGAGGTTAAGGAAACGCCACTGGGTAATTCCAAGGGAATTAAATTCTGAATTCCGAGGGTAGTTCTAACCAAATTTTGAGGATTTTTTTTAAAAGAATTCTGAGGAGTATTCCAAGGATATTCCGATGATTATTTTTAGAAAATTCAAACGAAAGTTCCAAGTAAATTATGAGAAGCATTTCAAAGAATTAATGGGAGTTCTGAGTAGAACTAAAAAGGAGTTCAAATGGTAATTCCAGGAGAATACTGAGTGCATGCTGAGGCGAACTCCAAGTGATTTTTTTCGGGAGTATTTTACGGGGAATTGCTAGAATTATTAATACTATGAAGAGCATTTGAATTAAGAAACTGTTCCGCAGAAGATTTTCAAGAGTATTGTATTACGGAGGAAATTATAAGAGAATTCAATTTTTCCATAAAACATATCGAGATTCTGGACACAAAAGAAGGAAAAATAGAAATTCTGAGGCTTAGAGTTTTTTTTTTTAAGAATTCCTGCTGGATTTAGATAAATCTTAAATGAGCAACCATCTTCAAACTACACCGAGTTGTTTGAAAATAGTGAAGTCAGTGATTAAGAAATATTTCCATGTATTTTAATGAAATTTCCTGAGAATCCTTGATTTTCCAGGTCCAAAAATTAATTCCCTGAGAATCCCTAATTTTCCAGGTTTTTATAGGTAGTCGAAACCCTGTTCAACTTCAATGGCAGTAAGCTGCAACTCGGCTTAACTTTTAATACCAACCCTGTTTGGATGATCTGCAAAATGTTTGTTTAGAGTCGTGTTGAATCACTCTGATGTCGACATCAAAGCAGTCGAACATTCTTGATCGGGATTTAATCCGAGGATAATACCTTACCACCACAAGTCTTTACAGTCCATACAAATTTATTTAAAACAAACATGTATGAACGAATGTACGAATTCGTTGACTGGGAGTTGCATCATTCAAAAATGTCTACGCAGTTTATGGATAGCCACGTCTTATTCTTCTTTGGCTATTACATTCCAATAGGAACTTTGCGCTTGTTATCAGCTTTGTGTTCTTCCACAGCTGTTAATATTGAATGCTTTCTGAATTATTCTTATATTGTATGGCAAGCCGAGTAGGGAAGTCGAGGAATTTTCAAACCCGAAAAACACCTTGGCCGGATCCGCCGCCTCGAGTATAACATTAATAGCTATATACCTTTACCAACTAATCTAAGAAAGACCCATAGTACGTATGCCTATTCTTAATTGTAGAGGTTTGAAGACAACATTGGATTCGCCTCAAATTAATTATTTATAGGTATATTGATTATTGTATTTAGGATGGTGACCTTTTAGATAGAAAGGATCAGGTTTTCGTTGTTTACAAACAAGAAACATGATGTACGATTAAACTATCTAATTGCAACACATGTAGACAATAATGGTGTGCAGGAAAGTGCTGAGCCTACAAGATAGCTGCTGGTAAAAATCGCAGAAGACGGTAGACCAAAACTCGCCCAAACCGAGTCCGGTTACATAAAATGCAATTTTGCACAGGAACTTGTCTGTGCTATCAAAAATTGATACCAGAAACCTACTTTCGCTTTCTTTCCATTCGGACCCTACACAGAACTGGTTTACGGTCGTGCCTCATACACATGCAACCGAAAATCAGACGCGTGTTCAATATTTGTCAAAGTGCTTAAATGGATGTACTCAGAATCCATCCTAAATCATTCGCTAATCACTGCTAGTACCTACTGAAACCTCCATCTAACTCAACGCTACATGCACCCAATGGATCCTGATTCCCCCAGTCTCAAAAGCCCGATATCCGACATCGGGAAAGAAATTTTCGGCCAGACACGAAAAATCTTCTGACGTGTAACTCTCGCTGTTGCCCCCTCACACTGTACCCTTCGACACCCGCGCGCACTCAGCCGCTCACACTCTTTCACACCGATATCGGGAAAACAAAAAACGGGTACTTACTGCCACCGTACTCCCAGAACGGGACGGTTCCATCCTTTTGCGCCAGATACGGGGGTTTGAAGGAGTACTTATACTCGAAGCGCCGATGCACCAGATGCGTATTTCCGTTCACAGTCGGTCCCGAGAGCAGCACAATCGCAGCCAGCAGGAGGAAAGTTGACAAACACGTCAACCCGGTGACAGCCATTTTTATGAACTACTGAGCTGGAAGCTTGCCACAAGCGCAGAGAAGCAGCAGGAGGAAAAAACTGGATCGCTTCGAGCGTTTGACAGAATTGCGTTTTGACGGATCGGTTTGTTGATTACTCTGCTGACGGGTACGAGAACCAGTGGTCGAAATGCTTCGGGTCGAATAATTACCAACAGGGGGTACTTTTCTGCCAGACTTTTTGCACTCAACGATTGAAAACTATACAGGTTATGGTAAGTTTTATTTCATTTCTCAATTTTCATTAGATGCAAATTAAGCCTTCTCTTCCGGTTTAACGTGCAATTTTGCTATTTTTTCGGCATCTTCCGATTTGACACCACTGCCATCTTCCTTCTCTCCGTCGCAAAAGGATCGCCGTTTTCCTTCATCCTCGCGGTCCAATTTACGCCCTTCGCGTGTTAGCCGAATGCTGTCCTCCAAACGCTTCAGCCCGCCGTCCAATACGGCTCCCATCTGCTTGTAGCGCTTCTGGTAGAAGAAATCCTTTACCACTGCAATAAAACGGCAGTACTGCTGGCATGCCATGTCCAGCCTGTTCCGCAGTTCGACTTCCTCGGCCAGCTTGAATCCCCTATCGCGAACGCCCACGAAGCGCTGAGACCAGGCACCGGTTGAAGTCACCGATGTCGAAGGACCTGGGAGATCCTTGAGAGCCACTTCCGAAGGTAGTTCCTGTTTTTGACACGCTTGCGATAAGTTCCGGGGTGCGATTTGTGCCACTTTCGGTTGAAGTGCTGCCCAGACTTCTTTGAAGAACCATTTCTTCTCCGGTGGGGGTGATGGCGGCATCAGAGGATGGCTGGTACTGAAGTAGAAGGAACGGTGACCGCCAAGAAGTAGGAATCTGAATATTGTTGTCGTGGAACGAGGCACCAGGCAGATTAGCATGTTCCTTTTTGGGAACCACTTTTTGCCACGCGGGATTTTGATTGAGGCTTGACAGATGAGTGTGGGTTTTCTGAGTCAATGAGTGCTGCGATGGGTGGCGGTTCGTTATAGTACGTTCAGACTACAGAGTTATAACATGTTATAGCCCTATCTTGATGGTGGTTTCTGTGTTACAATTATTTGACAACCGTTATAACATGTTATAACTGCTCAGTCTGGCCAGCGTTTTAAACACTAGGTGGGTTTTTCGGAAAATGAAAGGTATCGATTTCCAGCCTCTACACGTTGTCCCGTTTTCGAAAATGCCAACATTGTAAATTACCCAAAACTTTTCGCAAACCGGAAGTGGTCATTTTGGATACCGGATTGGTGTTGGACATTCGATTTCGCCCTTTACGTCCCGTTCAAAAATACCCATATTGTGTTTATGTAAACCAAAAGTGTCCATCTTGGACGGACGTAGACTATGAAACTTGATCTTAGTATTCTTCTTTGATTACAGCGCCGCGGTGGCATAAACTTGGATTATTTTTCAATTAATTGGAACAAACAGTTGTGATTCTTATAGCGACCCTAGTGGTTGGTGTCGGAAGCTTTTGACGTCTATGTGTTCCCTATAACAATAGTAGAATCCAAGTGACTTCCCTTTACTTCCAACGGCTTTACTTCCCTTCCGAAGGAAGGCGTGATCAGAGATCTTATGCCTCAGAACATCCCGGCGGCGCCGACTGGGATTGAACCCAGGCCTGCTGGGGTGAGAGGCAATCACGCTTACCACTACACCACCGACACCGCTGCCCCCTCTCTTGTTGATCGTCCAATTTTCGAAAAGGTGTTTATCAATATGATACCTGATCTGTCAGAAATGGGGGAGGTAGCTCATCGATTCTTCCGGTTCGCCTCCTAGCATCGTGCTATAAGGTACCAGGCGATAACCAGGGTAGTTGATCGATAGCTCGATGATGTCATTTCGTTGGCGTCTGCAATGGAAAATTCTCACAGCAGGCGTTGACGATGGGACGTTGTCGAGTTGTTGAATAAGCAACTATCGTGGTAACTCACCGATTACCTGTCGATCTACCAAATTTGGAAAGACGTCTGCATTGAATTGTCTCATATAATAATATTCCGCCCACTATATCACAAGAAATTGCGAGTAGCTGAGTGGAATGGAGATAAGTTAAGCATTGGGTACAGGACCAAGTCTCCCTTGGGTGGTGCCAGAAGATGAGCGCAATAGAATCATCAAGTTGCCATAAGGCACGGAATGAGACTATTGCATGGCTGGGTAGTCAAAGTCTTCCATTCGTTAGTCATTTCAGGTGGATTAGAGCAGGTTTAGGTTTAGAGTGGGCGTTGGCCAGATTTTGATTTTTCAGATGTAATCCTGGATAGGACCCTGTTATTGAACGTCGCGTGAAAGTGGAACTTAATGAAGGCCTAAGTACTTTTTCGTAGTTTTTAGTTTTCGGATTTGAAAGATCGTCGGTTACAGTGGCCTGCTTACTGAGCAGAAAAATGCGGTCCCAGGTCCTTAGATATCAAAGAGATGTATGGTAAAATCGCTTGTGTATCGTGTATTTTGCGAAACTCGTTGTTGTCGTTGGTTCCGGGTTTGAATGGATACAAAAATTTTAGCAACGGTATTATGTGATAAGAGGGGCTCGGTGGCCTTAGAGCAACCGTTTTTGCTTACTGAGCAGAACATCATGAGTATAATCTCAGGACCTTCCACATTCAAGATTCGTCAATCGTTTTATTTGTTAATATGAATACATGGTAATAACCACAAACGAAGTGACAGACGACTAACTGGGGAAGAAATCAATTAAAATAATGTGGTTCGCTGTAATAGAATTTACTTAGAAGCTTGTGCCATCATCCACCAGATGGGTTAGTTTTTTTGTTTTGATTTGAACATAGTTGATTTTGTGTACAATGATTCTTTGACAGTGTGCAAAGAGTGCGTATCATTTTGTCATTTTTTTATGCATTTCAGTTTTGAGTAGAGTGAAAGAGATAGAACCAAAACATTCTAGTACATTTGGTGAAAATGCTAGTTCAATCTATTAGTAGTGTTGCCATGTGGTACAATCCAGTAGTAGTGGTTTTGCCATGTGGTACACTGAAAAATTGCAATAGCAGGTTAGTCACCAAAGTTTTCGAGCCGCTCCGTCTGTCACTTCGTTTGTGGTAATAACAGCAACTCGGTGATTAAAAAGGTGCTCGTCTGCCTAGTGGCAAAGTTTTTGCCTACTGAGCAGAAGACCGTGGGTTTAGTCCCAAGCTCCTTCGCGTTATATGATCGTTAGGACATCAATTCAGCTTATCGTTTACCAAAACGAACCCTGCTGCAAACCCAACCCTCTTATCCAACATCCCAGTGATTCCTCGTGGAAGTGCAGAGGTGTTCTCGGCTTCCATCAAAGCGAGTGTCATGTCAACACAATCCTTCCCATTCCTTTCTTGACCTGTGTTCGGGCGCGGCCGGCACTGGTATTGCCTAATTTAAGATCACCAGTTTTTACACATTGAGGATGATTGCTAGTCCCAAGCATCGTCTATTGGTTCTCTGTGTAATTACAGCTGATCTGGCAATAACAGAGTAGCAATCGTGGGCGGTCAATCAAGCTCAAGCTCAAGCTCATGATACCTGATCTGTCAGAAATAAGTCTACTTGAATAGCAGGTTTAGGCTGTGAACCATTTGCCGAGTTAAATTTAACTCGTGGTTAAAAGTGACATTTCGATAGTTATTTTACATGTCCGAGAATCCCTGGTGCTGTCGATCGACCGTTTTTCGAGAAGAACTTAGCCAAGGTTGTCAAAATTTAACTTCTTGTCTGTCAGAAATAACCACGCTCGGATAGCAGGGTTAATCGATAACTTTCCATCTGTCAAATTTTAACCAAAAGTTTAAATAATCCACCAAATGGTTCAGAGCCTTATTTGGAAATTTTCTATCTGTCAAATTTAAGTGAAAATTCACCAAATGGAACACAGCCTGAAATCCTTAAAACAAAGAGATAGCTATTTGTTTTTTTGCAGCAAATGTACAGTTTTAGCTGAATACTGCGAACTAACTCAAAATGCTTGTCATCTGGGAGCCGAGTCAAACTGTCAAACGGGAGCCAAACATTCAAAAGAGCTCAGAAGTCTCGTAGGTAGTTACCGTTTGAACCACAAGTAAATGTGTTGCCACCTACTGAAAACAAATTGAGAATTATAATTATGGAACTGTCGAAACACCAACCTTAGTAGGTGGATAATGTAAATCATCGAGCGTGATGCTCTAAAAAGTGTTTTTATTTGATATTAATGATTGTGCTACATTTCCCCGAATGTCACTTCCCCGAACGCCATTTCCCTGAACGCCATTTCCCCGAATACCCATTTCCCGAATGCCGTTTCCCCGAATGTGCCATTTCCCGAATGCCATATCCCCGAGAAAAAAAAGTTAGGAAATTTCCAACCGTTATTGCTGGCAATTTTCTTACTATATTTTGAGCATAGTGAGCAGATTGCAAACCAGATAAATTTAAAACCATGCAAATGGAATGTTTATGAGATTAACCCAACTACCAATTAATTTGCTTTCCCCTATATTAATGTATTGAGCCGTTAAAAGCATTTTCATTTTTATATATAGAATAATAATCCAAAAACAAAGAGCACCAAAAATTTGGCAACATATCGTCGGTTTGACAAATTGATTATAAATTTTAAGGAGGTTTTGCCTTCTTTTATTTACGAGCAATTCTTTCGAGAACTTTGAAAAAACATGAGAGATCGATGGTTTGACAAAATGGTAAAATATGTTTATTCCTACTTTTTTACATAAGCAGTTCTTTCGGAAATTATTGCAACCAAATTTCAACAGGTGACAGTAATAAACAGAAGTTATGGCGATTTGTTTTGTACGCAGAAAATCGGAAAATGATTGTTTTATTAATTAGAGCCTTTCTCTTGGCCCTTTGAAAAAAAAATATTGGTACAGAAGGTGGCTTATATTATGGCGCAACACCCCTACCAAATATTTTTTCTCGTTTCGCCTCCACAAACAAAAATTTAATAAAAATATTGAAATCTGCATACATTATATTTCGGTTTAACTTTTCGTCCATAGAAGGTGGCGCTATGCTGTCAGTAGTTGTGAGTGTAAAACTCACAGCATTCCTCGATTCATTTGTCAAATCATATATCTCACAAGTTTCGCCAAATTCCTCGATTTGAATTTATAAAAGAAAAAATCTCGTAAAACTATGTTATCAATTTTTAAATCCATCGACCTCACATATTGTCTACACTCAAAAAAATCTACATGTTCCATTCATGTGTTTTCAAATATGAATTTCGCTAATTGCCAGTCACCATGATATCATGTGAATTTCATTCGCATTTCATGGGATCAATGTTCAAAAATCACATGTCACACCTGTCGGTGAAATCAAAACAAATCACACCATAATTTCGTGTGTTCAGTTATTGAAATTCATGGGATCTTAGTAAGGATCTGCGCTACTGTTTGCTACTATCGCATTTAACGTGTATGGCACATGGATCTCATCAGTAGCAGGACGAGTGTCAAAAGAGTATGTTGCTGCTACAGTTATGACCCTTACGAGAGTTTACAGGTACCCCACAATATTAATTTCCGCTTTAATTTACTGACAATAATTACTTTTACCAGTAGCGATCAATTTGTCAGCCGGTGTGAAGAAGTTGGCCGGTTCTATCTGAAATACAACTTTATTTTTGGCTTCATAGATTTTCAGCCCTTTGGCTGGATCATCTTTAAAACAGAAAACTGATCAGGAATGGTAAGTAAATCCAATTTAATAACTGAGAATAACATCAAAAGCTGAAAAACTTTATGTCTCCATAACTGTCTTTTACAGTATCCTTGGGTTCCTAGATCCTGGTGTAATGACGTGATTGGAGCGAGCTGCAGTGTTTTTTCTCTTCTTCTTCTTATTTTTTTATGAATGAATAATGAAAAAATAATCATTAAATGAAATGCATTGTTTTGATCGATTATTAAAAATACACGAGCCAGATATGTTCGAGAATATGCTTTTGAATGAAGGAAATTTGATGATTAAGTGTCAGACTGTCGATAACAAAATGTGAGACACTTGAAATCCAAGTGTATCACAATTGAACTTATAGTGTTCGGGAATAATTTATATTATAAGATTCACACATGAAATGGATGTGTTTAGCAATTTGCGCAAATCGAAGTGTGGAACACATAAGGGTAACGTGTGATTTTTTTTAAGTGTAAGTTCCCGGAAGACTGCTCGTTTATAAAAGAGGGAAAAATTTCTTCAAAATACATTACCAATTTATCAAACCGTCAATCTCACAAGTTTTGAGAAAGTTTTCAAAAAAACATTTATAAAAGAAGGATAAAATATGTCTACGGCTGAAAATCTCCTAAATAAATTTAAAAAGAAGGGAAAATCTCCTAAAAATTTATTACCAATCCGTCAAATCATCGATATTAGTTTTGCCAAAGTTCTCGAAAGAACTGCTCATGTATAAAATAAGGGAAAATGTCCTAAAAATATATTACCAATTTTTACACTTCCACTTCTGGTACTGCCGCCGCCTCACTAAAACTCTCGCCCGATTGATTTACTTTGAACAGAGATTTTCCCTTTTTTATCATGAGCTGTTCTTTTAAGGTTAATTGTTGCAATATTCAAAGATGTCTTCTTAATGCTCGCGAAACTAACCATAGAAATGTAATACAGTCAAAGTATTTTATAAATTTTTGGATTTCATTCGAGGAAATTACATTCGGGAAATGTAATTCGGGGGAATGGCATTCGGGGAAATGGCATTCGGGGAAATGGGGTATATGTTTGTCTGGGATTCGGGGAAATGGCGTTCGGGGAAATGGCGTTCGGGGAAGTGACATTCGGGGTAACGACATTCGGGGAAATGTAGCACAATCGATATTAATAATGCCAAAACTGGGTTGCTGAAACAAAAATGTAATCAAACTTTGTCATGTGAGCTTTGTGGGCAGGTGCACTCCCATCACCATGTATACATTATTTCTGGAGCAGAGGAGGAGGAGCCAAGAGTTCATTTGACAGCATGTATATACAATTTCGTGAGCTGTTTCAGCAAAACTATTGGAAACTTCGGAAGATTTTCAAGATGTTTTCTAGCTCACTTGAAAAATAAAATCGGCTGAGTTCGCAGTACTCAGAGCTTTAGCAACCGGTGGAAACCAAAGACCCAAGCGCAATGACAGCGGAAGCGGAACGGCAGCAACAGTGGAAAAGCCCGATCTGAGTGAACCTACTTGTCGGTTTGAAAACTATTTAGAACCAAATCGACTTCGGTTAGGCATCTTGATGTCACTTGTGACAACTGCCAAACTTTCCGTTTCCGTTTCGTTTCCGCCCACTTTGCGCTTGGACCTTAACGATATTAAATTGGCTCATTTATTGGTCCCAAGCAAATCGATTAACGTACCCCATTCTAGTCGAAATTCTAGTACTAGAAATCTTTCCCTGGATTTCGCTGAAATTCCTGGGCATAAATGAGTCATAAATAATCTGAGATCCCCTGATTTTCAGGGTTTTTATTCACTTAGTCGACACCCTGGGAAAGGTCGCAAGTCGCTGGTCCCAAAATGTAAGAATTTTACACAAACCAAGCACTGTTTAATCAAACCACGGCATGACACAAGAAACCGACCACTCTTTCCCGCTCCCTACACATCGATTCGAAGATCACGGTCAAAGTTGATAAAATCCTCAGATAGCCGCTAAATCCATGACCTTTGCGATGGAAAGTCGCGAGCTTGGTCGAATCCCGGAGGCCCTTCCATGTTCCTATGCCATATATCATCCCCGCGATATCAAGGATTTTCGGATCAGTTCACTTCCCAGCAACAACACCGGGAAAAGTAGTTAAATCTATCAGAGTTTGTTTATTCCTTGCTTTGCTCTTAATATAAGTAAACCATCATTTAGAAGCCGATGAATACAGTGTAGAGTTGGTATGGAGAAAGAGAGAAAGAAACTTTTAATCCTTCTACCAAATCGCCGTACTTACTACCAGTAATACTTAAAATAATTAACACAATTTGAAAAAAAGGTCGCTAAAAATTTGTTATACCTATTTACGAGCTAACGAGTTTTATAAGCAGTGCCGATGAACCGAATAAGGACAAATAAGTGGATGGTAAATTAAAAACGTCTATTAAATGCCGTTAATGTTTCTTTTTTTTATTACTATTTCATTGACTATGCACTATTCATTAAGCCTGCGTGGGGAAGTCCTAGTTTCGGTCACATTTTCAATATGAATTACGAGTTTTAGTGGTTTAAGTCCCGGTGAAATTAACTGCTGTTTGCTTAAAACTGCATTTGTACAAGTGTAGACTTTAAAAAAATATACATTAGAATCTATTAAGGTTCAATTTACTTTGATGCATTTTTTAAAAATTTAAAAGCAGTTTTTTTTCGACGCATTATTTTAGATTGCAGAAAGCTCGCATCATTTTGTGTAAAATATCATTTTCATTGCAATCTGAAATAATGCGTCGGAAAAAACTGCTTTCGAAATTTTCCAAAAAGCATCAAAGTAAATTGAACCTTAAGAAAGAAGAAAAACGGAAAACACATCGGCAAATTTCTAAACTCTAGAAATTAAAGTTAGATTTTTGGTCCTAACTAAACAAAAATGTAAGAAAGCAGAAAAGCCGCGTCTAATACTTTTGATACCTCCTAAAAAAAAAAAAAAAACAAAAAAATCGCAACGCACTACACTGTTATACTCGATTTGCGTCGGTGAAATATAGACAATATTTCCGCAAAAAGTATCCCACCTTTTTTGGGGGCGCCTAAATTTAATAGGAAAAATTTAAACACGATTTTCGTTTTCTTCCCTGCTTCGTACCCTCATTAGTTCCGAAAAGAATTCTCGTCCGTTCTAAACGCACGCACCTGAATATAACCGTTTGAATTTACCTGATCCATCCAAAACCCTCTCTTACCGCCTCCCCTCTTCGTGTTTTTTTTTGCGTTTTCAGTAGATTTAAAGTGTGTGATTCAATGCAGTCTAGCTTTTAGTCAACGAACATTTCTTTGAGATCGTGCTCGTACATCGCAATCAGGAGCATGATCCCGAAGCCGGCACTCATGCCGAAGAACTGCAGCAGGAACTCGGAAGTTTTACAGCGATCCTCGACTCCGTGGGCGGATGTCAGCTCGGGAATCTGCAGAAGAACAAACGCAAATATGATTAGTGGTAAAATTAATGAAATATATACTATGCCCTAGCAACATTTTTCCAATCGTAATTCTATCTACATGATCGGTCATTTCAGTGTAGTATGTTTTCAGTACTAACCACGTTACGAAATAGCTGAGTAAGCCCCATAAAAATGATTGTACTCGATGGAAAAATTATAGCCTATGCATTACAATTAACCCAATTTTTCGGTTTTCAATCGGCCGTTATAAAATTTCATGATATTTTTTTGAAAATCGCACGTAAAGGGTGTCCCACATCAAATTGCATCACGGAAAAAAACGCTGTAGAAAATTACCCATTGGGTATTTTCTCTTGAAAATTTGGGTAGAAGTAGTTTAGAGTGTATTGTTTACACTACTGTCAGTTTTTTCTTAAGTTGGAAAAAATGGCGTCACCGGAAAAGCAACGTCGCGAATTGATTTTGCGCAAGCAGCTGGAAAATCCTCAACTCTCTCATCGGGACATCGGAAAGCAACTCGGAATCGTGCAGTCAACGGTGAGTCGTGTGATTAAATGTTACTACGAAACTCTGAGCATCGAACGTACACCCAGATGCTGACGAAGCCTCATTGTCTCATCATGGATGATGAGACTTACGTCAAGGCGGACTTCCGGCAGCTTCCGGGGCTACTGTTCTTCATCGCCTAGCACAAGTTTGATGTTCCGGAGGAAGAAATGAAGCAGAAACTTACTAAGTTTGCCAAGAAATACATGATTTGGCAAGCGATCTGCTCATGTGGCAAACGGAGTGCGTAGTTCGTGACTATCGGGACTGTAAACGGGGAAGGAGTGTCTACAGAAGCGTCTGCTTCTTTTGTTGAAGCAACACGAGGACCCTACGATCTTCTGACCGGATCTAGCTTCGTGCCACTATTCAACTGTTGTCCTGGAGTGGTACGAAGCCAACGGGATCACTTTCGTACCCAAGGATATGAACCCCCCCAACGCACCGGAACTAAGACCCATCGAAAAATACTGGGCTATTATGAAGCAGGCACTACGGAAGCATCCCAGGGAGGTCAAATCTGAGGAAGACATCTAACGATGTTGTACAGAAACTAATGAGTGGAGTTAAGCGTAAGGTGCAAGCGTACGGTTATGGTATTGAAGTTGAATGAAATAAATATGCCAAAACCTTACTGCTGGGTTATATTTTATTGCCAGAAAGCTTGGGGCAAGACAGTTTTCGATCATGAGTATAATTGGAGCTAATTTTGAGTAACTCTGAGTAACTCGCATTGCTCAACAACATTTACACATAGCAACCTGGTTGCTGTGTTGAAACCGATGCTGTCAAGCAAAGATAATTCAGTGGCAACATTTCAAAGGGACGTAATTGCATTTGTAATACGTATTTCAACATTTTAAGCGGTGCCCTTTCAAACTAATGCTTTACCGAGAAGATATTTCGGGAATGGAAAGGCAATTGCACTTTCGTATAGCACGCTGTGAAACATGAGCAACCACATAATACGGTTTCTGATGGACAATCACAAGAAGGATTCAGGACAGTCCCAAGAAGACTCCGGACAATCTCTGGAAGGATTCCAGTCAGTCTAAAAGGGGATTTATGACAGTTTCCAAAGGAACTCCGAACTAGCCTAGGAGTGATTCCAGACAGTTATCAGAAAAGATTCCATATAATCACAGTAAGGCTTCCGGACAATATCAGAGGGGACTTCGGGCAAACCCAACAGGGATTCTGGACAGTCAAAAGAACGATTTCAGTAAAAATTAAGGGGCATTCATGACAGTCCAGAGAGGATCCCAAACAATCGCAGAAAGGATTCCGTACAATTCCAGGGAGATTCCAGACAATATCAGGGAGGACTAAAGTCATCCCAAATGGAGGATTCTGAAAAATTCTAAGTAGCATGACAAAAAAGAGATGAAGGGATTCCTGTATCCCCTCGACGATCGCTCATGTAAATGTTGGAATAGAATCAACTATGAAGTTGGCCAAAGCTAATCTAAATATTGTGACCTGGGATGAACAACTACATAAAATACCGCATTCGTCAATGTTCCATTAGTGCTAAATGTGGATCAACACAACAACGATGAAAAATTAACCCGTTTCTGATCACAATTTTCAACTGTCTTTTTCTAAGAGTATCAGGAAGTTTCTAGTGACAATTTACCATTACTTTGACTTTTCTAACGAAATATTCTCGGAAATTTATATCGATCTTCCATTACGGAAGCTTGTAGATTTAATTTTGCTGGTCACTGTACACCTCAATTGTAAATAATTAGTAATGTTGAGTTTCCTCATGCCAGAAACTAATTCAACAGAACAAGAAGCCTATATCAATTGAAAATATTTAAACAAAATATTCTGTCAGACGGTGGTTGATTCCAGAACATCTTGTGATGAAAAATACGAAACTGCTTTGCTCATTTGTGAGTTAATATGAGCAACTCAAATTTACTCGCAGCAAATATATTTAGGTCTATTCTGCGCGGCGTGTGAGGTGAGGTGACACGCTGTCACTTCTGAAGTGACAATTGTCACCTCGCGTGAGGTGACTCTCCATTTGATTTGCACGGAGGCTCACCTCACCCGAGGTGACAATTGTCACTTCACCATCACTTCACTGTCACCTCACCTCACACGCCGCGCAGAATAGGCCTAATTTACTCTGAGTACAGCTGTCTTGCCCCTTGCCAGAAAGTTAGAAATGGCTCGGTCAACTAGGTAATTTTGGCAATTTGATGTGGGACACCCTTTAATTTGATTTCCCTCAAAGTCCTGTACGATTCTTTAGAAATGTTATAGACTGCGCTTCCCTGTGAACTTTATTAAAATCTCTCTAACAAGTCTTGTGGACATTCGGCCAGTAGAAGTACTGTCCATTTACTTAGGAGTCCTGTAGACTTTACTTGGATTTCTTTAGACTATTCTAAAAAAAATATTGACTTCCTAGATACAAGTCAAGTCCTGTAAACTTTCCTCAGGATCCTGGACATTATCTAGTTAAGACCAAAAACATGGACATTTTTCCATGGAATCTTGTAGATTTCCCGTAAAAGTCCAAAGAACTTCATTTTACAAGCGTTCCGAAATTAAGGAAGATCTTGGACTTGTGAAACATTACATGGAACCTGTAAAATATAACAAAATTGTATGACAAAATATCGAGACCTCGAACAAATAATCCCAGCTTCCGGAACTGACAGAATTTTTACGATGTAATTACTCAAAACAAAACTAGAGTTCTAGGACATTGACGAAAGTGATCCAAGATTTAAAATTCGTGGACATTGATAAGAATCGATTGATTGAGAGAGTGAGCACGTGCAAGATAGAATAGTGTGAGAGACAAAGTAGCTTTCCCTCTTGGTAGTAAGGTTGAAAGTAATGAACTTATTGATTTTACAGTACATTAACAAGTAAATTTCAATGGAAAAGTTCTAAAGAAGGTAGATATTTACTATGTCTATGTACTTGACGACGTGAATTCTTCGCTCTCAACTCCCATACTGAATTTCAACTGTGCCTACCAAGGAAACAGCGCCATCTCTGGGAATACTCTTTACGGAAATCTACTCATCATAAAAAAAACGATGTCAACGAAACTTACCATATCCACCAAAGCAATATACAGAAACAGTCCGGCGGCCACCGCGAAGATCCACCCGGACGCCTCCGGTTGGTGGCCAATCACGATACCGATCATCACTCCGATGAAGCTGAGAATTGACGACAGCAGATTGTAGTACACGGCATCCCGGGCGGACATTCCGGCCTTCAGCAGCACCGCAAAGTCACCGAGCTCGTGCGGCAGTTCGTGGCAGAAGACGGCAATTGCGGTGGAAAATCCACCGGCGATGTTGTTGGCGAACGCAGCGCCGATGGTCAAACCGTCGGTAAAGTTGTGCAATCCATCGCCCATGATAACCATCCAGGCCACCGCCGACAGGGACCCCGGCGGCGAGTGTACGTGCCCATGCATGTGTGTGTGCCCGTGGTGTTTGGTTTCGTGCTCGCGCAGGATGATCGTGTAGTTCTCGGCCTGTATCTTGGGCTTGGCATGTTCGCTTTCGATCGATGCATCGTCCAGATTGGTCGAAACGGTGTTATTGTCCTGATTGGCCGTATCTTCCTTGGTGCTACTGTGGTGCAAACCCACGTAATCGCTCACATGTTCGCCGTGTTCGCTGCCGTGATTGTTGGCACATTTGGCCGATGCATTGTTGTGATTGTTGTGAATGTGGTTCTCCATGTGGTTGTGCTCGTGATGGTCATCCTTGGTCTCCATCGCAATCTCGTCATAGCAATATGGATAGGAACTGTATTTGTGCTTGCACTGCTTCTCTCCACTGGCAGCATTATGCAACGAGCTGGATTCGGGTTCACGCATCACCCGCACCCGCGAGGAAGGCTTGTCCTTCTTCTCCTGATGTTTGTACCACTCGGCAACGACCGTTAGGAACCGTTCCATAAAGTAGAAAAACACGATGCCACTGACGGCGGCCAGTCCCTTGTACATCATCTCGTCATGGGGGTTTTCCATCGTTGTTGACATCATTGCATGCGGAAGCAGATGAAGCAGAGCATCCCCGCACAGTGTGCCCACTGCCAGTGCAACCAGAAACTGCAGTACATGCTGATAAAAATGCTTATCCATACACGGTATCACAGCAACGCCCAATAAACCACATAAACTAACACCCAAAACCGCCAGTGTCGAGTAGATCCACACCAATGGTTCTATCGTATCGTCCCCGGAGCTACCGATCTCTTGCAATCCGGGAGATGTACCTCCTCTTCTGGCCACCAGAGCAGCCAGCTCTGGGACTACGCCCGGAGCGATACAGCCGGCTCGCTGCCGGGACGTCTTCGACGATAGCTGTGCCAACAGAATCGGACATATGTTGAACAGATCATCCCGATCCAGTCGGAATGATGCTTTCAATCGATCCAATTCACTCATAATGTTACTGTTAGAACTGATGCTACTGTTGGATTTGCTAGGAATCCTATCACTAGAGCTAATGCTATTGCTACTGCTACTACTGCTGCTGTTATTACTATCACTAGTAGTATTGGCCTTATCACTACTGCTACCGTTAGCTGCGCTACTGTTAGTATTTTGAGAGACATTTCCTGCGGGCCCTAACGCGGCCATCGCAAGCGGTTCGGACATCGCTATCCGCTTCACAAAGTCAACGCTGTTGATGCACTGAAATAGACAAAAACACAGTCAGTATCCTTCGGCTGCTAAATTCCAAATCCAAATCTCACCGCTTCATCACTGTCCGAGTCATGGTCGTGATTTGATGCGGTCACAGGACTACTGCTACCGGGCAGCTGTTCCGTCACCAATCGGTACATGTTCATTCGTTTCATCATATTCTCGAATCCGGCCACGTCCATCGTCATGGACGTGGGATCACCAAACTCTTTGAAAATGGCCACCATAAATACGTCCAGCTTCTCCCGCACCGCTGCTCGACCGTTCTCATCTTCGTCGTGATCGTCGTGATCATGATCTCCATGATGGTGATGATGATCGTGTCCATGGGTGTGTCGTTTCACCAGGTGGTGGTGCACCTTTTCTGTCGAACCGACGACGGATTCCAATCGTCGGTGGTTGTCGGCTATCGTCATCGTCGGCAACCGTAGTCCCAGGTCGGAATCATCGTGTTGCTTGCAGGGAAGATGATCGGCACAGAGCAAGCACACGACACACACTGCCATGATGTGTCGTGCCATCCTGCTACCTTCGGAACGAGCCAGACTGACCACCGGAACTGGCTGTTGAATGCGATTGGTTTGGAATCTATCAGCGGGTGAGTTTGATGTGAATGCGGGTACCGAGAGGGTCAATATCTCAAGTTTAGCGACTCTTTCCTACTCTCTATCCTCCCGAAGAGTGGGTTGTTGTTTCCATTGAGCTCCGTTGGATCGCGAACGGGATGATTGGTTGTATCTGGAAGGTAGAAGAAATCGAAATGTAAGTATCCATGAATGTTTGAATGATTTGTAGTTTTGGCTTAAACGAAGAAATCTTCATGAAGTAGCTCCCTGGATACGATACCAAATTTCCAACCGAAAAGAGCCTGATGCAAGTGCCAAGAGTTATGGAATAACTCGGTTGCTACCTTACATAAATACTTGTACTAATACTCTATTTTGTTTCTCTACTATCTAGGTTTAAAAGAACTCCTGGAATATTAGGTACTACAAGCAATTCTGGAATTTTTGGAACTCTAACAACTCTTCTAAACTCTTGGGAATTCAAACGTGAAAACCGCAGAAACTTCAAAACTCCAAAAGCTTCTCCATCGCCAGCAACTTTTAGAATTTCTGAGAACTATAAGTCTGCAGTTCAAATCCCTGGATCAGATGCTGGATGTTTCAGAAGTTCTCAGAGTAAAAGAACTAATTGGGGTTCTATAAGTTGCTCCTACGGGTTCAGAAAGTTCATGAAATCCTCAATGCTCCGGGAGTTCTACCAATGCTCTTGCAGTCGTAAATTTTTTGTATGTTTTCAGATCTTAATGAATGCTGGGGTTTCAATAAGTTCCTGTAGTTGTGATAGTTCTAGCGGCTTTTAATTTGTCCGGGAGCTCTGTAATTCTTTTGGTTATGAAATTAAAAAAATAAATATTTATTTTAAGTTCTATGGATTGCTAAAGGTATAGTAGTCCGGAATTTCCATAGTTTCAGAAGTTGTGCAGGAATCAAGGGGCAAGACAGCTGTACTCAGAGTAAATATATTTGCTGCGAGTAAATTTGAGTTACTCATATTAACTCAAAAATGAGCAAAGTAGTTTCGTATTTTTCATCACAAGATGTTCTGGAATCAACCACCGTCTGACAGAATATTTTGTTTTGTTTTGTTTTGAAAATTTAGCATTTGGCATCAGATTATCAACTTTAATATAGCATGATGTCCATGAAACGGCAATATTAAGTTTTCATGTTTTAAAAGTTCCAAGTTACATTGCTTTTGTCCAGGTCAGGGACCTCTTTTTCTTTCTAGGGATTGATGATCTTCGAAGTTTTTCGTGATGTGGTGGTGTGATTTCAAGACCAAAGAAGTTGGAATTTGACCTAATATTATGATAAGATTATGAAAATTAATACTCAACCTCTCAAAATCGATGCAAGAGGCTTCTTGTTTTGTTGAATTAGTTTCTGGCATGAGGAAACTCAACATTACTAATTATTTACAATTGAGGTGTACAGTGACCAGCAAAACTAAATCTACAAACTTCCGTAACGGAAGATCTATATAAATCTCCGAGAATATTTTGCTGGAAAAAGTTAGAGTAATGATCAATTGTCACTAGAAACTTCCTGATACTCTTGGAAAAAGACAGTTGAAAATTGTGATCAGAAACGGGTTAATTTTTCATCGCCTGGTGTTGTTGTGATGATCTACATTTAGCACAAACGGAACATTGACGAATGCGGTTTTTTTATGTAGCTGTTCATCCCAGGTCACAATATTTAGATTCGTTTTGGCCAACTTTATAGTTGATTCTATTCCAACATTTAAATGAGCGATCGTCGAAGGGATACAGGAATCCCTTCATCTCTTTTTTGTCATGCTACTTAGAATTTTTCAGAATCCTCCATTTGGGATGACTGTTGTACTACAGTAGTCCTCCCTGAGATTGTCTGGAATCTCCCTGGAATTGTACGGAATCCTTTCTGCGATTGTTTGGGATCCTCTCTGGACTGTCATGAATACCCCTTGATTTTTACTGAAATCGTCCTTTTGACCGTCCAGAATCCCTGTTGGGTTTGCCCGAAGTCCCCTCTGATATTGTCCGGAAGCCGTACTGTGATTATATGGAATCTTTTCTGATAACTGTCTAGAAACACTCCTAGGCTAGTTCGGAGTCCCTCGGAGACTGTCATAAATCCCCATTTCGATTGACTGGAATCCTTCCAGAGATTGTCCGGAGTCTTCTTGGGACTGTCCTGAATCCTTCTTGTGATTGTCCATCAGAATCCGTATTATGTGGTTGTTAATGTTTCGCAGCGTGCTATACGAAAGTGCAATTGCCTTTCCATTGCCGAAATATCTTCTCGGTAAAGCATGAGTTTGAAAGGGCACCGCTTAAAATGTTGAAATACGTATTATAAATGCAATTACGCCCCTTTGAAATGTTGCCACTGAATTATCTTTGCTTGACAGCATCGGTTTCAACACAACAACCAGGTTGCTATCTGTAAATGTTGTTGAGCAATGCGAGTTACTCAGAGTTACGCAAAATTAGCTCCGATTATACTCATGATCGAAAGCTGTCTTGCCCCAAGGCAAGAATTCTAAAATTCACGAATATGATAATTTACCAAAGTTACTGGAAGGTTGAAAAGTTCTCGAAGTGCTAGAAACCTTGGAATCGAAATTCTAGAAGTTCATAGAATAGTCACTGAAGTTCCGAAAGCTCTCGCAGCTGCGGGAGTATCAAGAGTATCAAAAATTTCAAAACTGCCTAGAGCTTTAAGAACGTTACAAGAGAATATTCCGAAACTTTTATAACTAATAACTAACATGGTGTCCAGCAAATCCCGATTAGCGATTTCCCGGATTTGTTCTCGGAAGTTTGGAAATCATCAATAGGTTAAACAGGTCATTAATAAGACAGCAATAATTTTCATGGAACTTGAATTTGGTTCTGCGTTCGATGTTTTCGAAATGTATCTATCCTCTCTAAGCGTCGATTGAAAATTCATTTATAAGAGCCCAAAAATAATCTGCACAACACTCCAGAAAATTAATGAAAGTCGTCCATAGGTTACTTCGAATTTTGAACTTTTTCTAAGAATGCACTGAAGCTTCCTCACATTTTTTGTTTAATTTGCTTGAATTATCCTTAAAATTTCCATAAAATTTTGCTCAGAATTATCTTGGAGCAGTGCGCAAAACAGTCATGTTCATTGAGTCATTTTGATATGAATATGAACTGCCATCTGCCACATCATTCACTGCCTCGTGAGAGTCTGAATGATTGAGAGGTAAATGAGTCACTGACAGCCGAGCACTCAGTCAGTAGCTCAGTCAACACGTTTATTCTGCCGTGATGGTACCCAATATTTGTTTTGAATGACTTAGCGTCAGCGAATCCAAACACATAAAGCAACCAACGATACAGACAAAACGGTTGCTACGACAACCATGACAAACTCGCTCTGTAACAAAGCTCGATCGGTAGAAAGATAATGATATATTGCTTGCCTGTTTTGTTTCAATTTACTCAGATGAGGACATAGCCTGATCTGAATCGAGAAAAGACATAAAAAAATCCCATTAACACACGTGTATCATCTTCGGCTTTACTTCGTGAAGCAGCTTGCCAATAATTTGCTCATTTCCTTCTACCGCCCCGAGTGCACTGTTTCGCACGAGCTGTTTGTCATGAAAAAAAGGAAGAAGATTATATCATTATTGCTTTCCACTTCTGACATAGCGTTTTTATTTCGTTGATCGCTTGTCATGTTGTCATTTGGAGATATTTTTGATTCCTTGCTTAGCGTATATTTTCTATGGAAAAATGACTGAATACATGCTGTGTAAGCAAAAGCAAGCGGTGTGCGTCGCCTGCTATGAGTGACTGAATGTTTCAGTTGGCTCTTTCATTGCCTCGTCCTAACAAACGTTTGGTACAAACGGTCTGCACAGAGCAATGGATTGAATAGTGCAGTGCAGTGAAGTTGTCACGAAATTATTTTCTGGATGTCCTTGAAATTATCATCGAAATTTTCATAAAAGTCTTCGCACAATTCCTTTGGAATTGTACCCCTAAAATACGATTCCCTTATTATTTTTCACGGATCCTGGTACTCTCTTCACAAACGCCGTGAAATTTTCCATAGAGCTGCGTGAAAAGAATACTCTGAACTCACACAATTGACTTGGAGTTCTCGTCGAAAGTCCAACCCAAACCTTCGTAGAACATTTTCTCTGGTGTTATCTCTAGAATTAATTCTAAAATCTACTCTACAAAATTGCTTTGGATTTTTTAAAGGGTGTAATTCGATAAAAAATGGCACTCACATAAACAGCTGTAACTTTGTAAGCGCAATTTTTATCGAATACACCGTTTACTCTCTTAATAGTTCACTGTATCTTGAAAATCAAGTCCACTCTAATGGGCTGTTTACGCTTATGCAATGTTCACTAGCTCAACCAGCTCAACCAACTAGCGCGAATATCAGCTGTTCCTAAAATGGCATGCTGGTAGATGCTGACACTGTTTACATGATGCTGGTTACTTTTTAGTACAGTCAGAAATCCTTATTGCCGGATCCTTATTGCCGCGAATAAGGATACCCACAGCTTATGGAATTTGCACTGTTAGGGGGAAGTATTTCGGTATCGTGGTCAAAAACACCTCTTTGCTAGCAGCCCGGTTGGCGCAGCTTCAAAGCTGGAATTTTATTATTTGTGTTAGCTTTAGCTTGGTAGGTATAGAAAAACTCACATTTTGGTATTTTCACGAATCCTATAGGTTAGCTTTCTTCCACTACTTCCCACGTACGAATCTGTTTCTAACAATGATTAAATTAAATAGATACACTTCATTTTAAATTTCAGCAGTTACCTTTTCGATACAATAGTTTTATAAATTTAACCATGAATAAACCTTAAATTTCATTAAATTTCACAATTTTCCAACTAACAAAATCTTATTTCTTTTCACAATAAATTTACTTTGTTTATGATCTTCAACCTCTCTTTTCTTCCGTTCCAATCATTATTCTTGACAGTTAATCCACTGCCACTTATACTCGACCACACAAATCACAAAGGGTGTAACCGGGACTCACTTGACAGCCGGCGGAGTCTGCCCAGTGGGTTCGCCAACATTCCCACGCCCGTGTAGTTCCGGTTCACTCGAACACTTCTCTTCCGATTTTTCAGGCATTTCACGAACTTCCAGCAACGCCAACTTGGTTGCTGGTCGACTAACC